AGGAATCCAATGAGAATGGGATTACTACTATTATTAACTTTCATTTTTTTTTTCATTTAATATGCGAATATTGAGATGTTTTTCCCTGTATGAATTTATGTTAACTAATACATCACATAAAATAAAAATCACATAATTATCATGGATAAAGTATATAATCATACATTGACTACAATAAAGAATGGAATAAATCAATGAAAAAATGGCCACCAAATTCTCGAATTGGTGAAAAACCCTAATCCACTAAAAAAAACCCAAATTATTACAACCTAACTAACTATAACATTATATCCTGAAATTGAAATTATTGGTTTACATGTTATAAATATTTTTCTATACAAATAATAACAAACCTAAAATATCTTATCATATCATTTAATTTAAAATATATTCTTGACAACTGTAAGAAAAATAGTACATTACATAATTTATAATACAAATAAATTAATAAATAAAATACAAGATTTGGTTATCAATGTAGAAATTATTAGAATATATACCAATTTTCAAATTAACATATTTATTTTCAAAAATCTAATTTTTTAGGTTTTTAGAATAAATTTAGTGGAAGAGATTTTTAATAGAAAGAGAGAGATTTCAAATGGCCTCATTGTATGACCCCTATCTTTAAATTAATATTCTTAAATTTATGTTAAAGACCACCATGTTATAAAAATAAAAAATATAATTAGACCATTTATTCTTAAGTTAAAAAAAAAAAACAATAAGCATTCATATATAAGAAAGAGAAAAAGAGCTAACATTACCTTTACATATCTAATTTAAGCGTACGATAATCGCAACTCAAATGTGTGCTTGAAAAGCGTGATATTTATTGTATTACCTTTTATTTAGGAACCTTTTGTGTACAAGACGGACGTGATAACCACTTGTGTCTAAAGCATTTTTGTTAGGGCTATTAATGGAGAGGGCTGGGATTCGGGTTTCTAGGCTGGGCCCGTCAAATGGCCACTAACGAGCTTTGGGTTGGGATGATATGGACACGTGTTATTATTAAGTTGGGCCGAGCTTTTAACGGACCAGACCGAAAATTGTCTCGTCTAGGCCCAATAATGACCGGCCCAGCTTATTTTTCCTTTTTTCTTTTGTATCTTCACTCTTCAAAATTTTATTGTTTGTAGTAAGGCAAATGAAAATAAAAATAAATATATGTTAAAATATTTTTTATAAAATTTAAAATTCATTCTGTCTCTGAAACCCCAATATCTCTTTTCTCTCTGAAACTTCATTTTCGCTACAACCCAAATCTCTCTCTCTCTCAAATCCATTTTCTCTCTAGAAGTTACAATCTCTCTCTCTTATGGGTGGCACTGGACCCAAGAGCCGCCGGGTAGACCTGACCTGTGTTTGTGTATAGATCCAGCATTAGACCCGGTGGGTCGAGTCCGGGTCCATCGCTATTGACCCGAAATAGGCATCGGTTGGGTACAGGTTCCAATAAACCCAACCTGGATTTATTATATAAAAAAAATATTAATTTTATATTGCTATAATGACTATAAAATGGTAATGTTTCTTTATGTTGAGATTTTGCCCAAAAAGGTGAACCCTTTTATTTTAGTTCTCCCCTTCCTATATTTTGCTATCTAGAGACGCAGTATGAGGAAAGTATCCGCCCTTCTATTTCCTCTCAGCTGAGACTTTCTACCACAACAGGAGAGGGACTTCTTCGTTACTAATGGTAGAGAGAGAAAGACCCATTTCAAATGGTGAGAGAGATCCATTTCACTTAGAGAGAGAGAGCGTTCAATATAGACTTCGTGGTTGAATCGAAGAAGCTTTGTTATTTGGCATGGCCTGCTATATTCACACATGCCAGTACTTGCTAAGCACCATCACCAATGTTCGCAAAATCGAACCGGAACGGTTAACCGGTTTGGGGCTGGGAGCAGTTTGAACCGGAACCGGACTAATCGGAGTGGTTAACCGTTTTAACCGGTCAAGTAGTTTTTTTTTTTTTTTAAAAAAAGGTAAAAACCATCCAAAAAATTTAAAAAAAAATGAAAAAAATTGAAAAACTTAGATTAAGTGTATACTATTATATTACATACATTTATCTTACAAAAAAAATTGAAAATTTTTTTTATATAAATTAATATTTGAATACTATGAAGATATGCAAGACAATTTAGAATTTGACATTAATTCAATTAACGAAGTTACAAACTCCAACTAACAATGCTAGTAGTAATGAGAGTGGCGAGGGGGATCATGATATTGTTGTGTTTCACTATCAGGATTTACAGGGCGAAAAATCTGAGTAAGGCTTGGTGGAGTCTGTAATGCCGCAGTTGTGCCCGCTCACCAGTCAAGAATATTTCTAGTAGTACCCCCTTGGCCAAAGTCTCCTACACTCGTCCAGCCTTCATGCTCTCCCCCACCCTGTTCTATGTTAACCCCTACCCTGTTATGTGTTACCCGCACCCTGTTCTGTGTTACCCCCACCTTGTTTTGTGTTATGGCCCTCAGTATCTTCAATATTGTCATCATCATGAATAACAAGGTTACGGAGACGGCTATAACTTCGTCTCTCCCTTGTTGAGTAACTCCAATGCCTCAATGCATGGACTTCCTCCCTAGCCAATCTCATTAAATCTTCCTGTTCATCAGGCACCGCATCATGTTGTGCCCCTTCACATTCCTGGATGACTAGTTCTTGTCAATTGTTTTCCATTGTCTAATCTGTTTCATCATCATGTGCATCATCTTCATCCTGTGTATAATCGTCATCCATGTCCATTGTCATGTCTCCTTCATTGGATGCTGCAACATTCACATTATCATCCATATCGGCAACTGCCCCACTAAGAAAATCTTGGTCTAGTATTGGGGTCCTTAGTGACACCCACTCATCGGCGAGGTCGCTCCGAAAAATGTAATCAAGGTTGATCGGCGTGTAGTCTGTGGGGTTCCTCCTTATATATTTCTCTCTCAATTTCAAATTATAATGAACGTACACCAAGTTGTGCATCGTCTGTGTCTTTAACCTATTCTGCCTTGGGGCGTGTGTCTTTGACCTATTCCGCCTCGGGGCGTGTATCAATTAAAATGTACTCTAGTTTCTCTCACAGCCCCAGGCAGCACAGGTTTGACTCAAAATTCTAACGACAATTTTTTGCAATTGCTTTATTCGAATTCCGTGTATCGTCCACCATTGTGATGACACAGACAAACATAAAAATACTTAACAATAGAAAATAAATTGATTTAAAAAAATTAGAGATAGTAGTGTACTAAACTATTGCAAGTTTTAACTTAAAACTAACCTGGGTGCAATTTTGCAGCTGCTTTTTTGGCATTGTTGTATGCAAATTCCCTATTTTTTTCCATGTACATAATAAGCTAAAAATAACAAGATGCATATACAAGAAATTAATACTACAGAGAAATGCAATTCATTATTGTAAATTGAAATTTTATTACATACACGTTTTGATTAAGGTTTACCTGTTGCATACACTCCATCTGAGTTTCAAGATTAAGTTCAAGTCTATAGATGCAATTTCTTACCCCTTCCATGATATCTGCATCATCTAAAGTGGCATTGGAGTACAAATTTTGTAGATTAAGAAAGAACCCTGCATGTGGTTTGTTATATTATTAATTACGGTAAATTTTCTCGGAGTTGAGAAAGAGTCATGAATTGCGACAGTGAATCATAAATTACCTGTTACATGGATATCTTGGTGTAGTTGGTCTCTCCACCAACGATCAACAATCTCTAATATCTCTTCATTCCATATGTTATTATCAAATATAGCTTCCCTTGCACGTCTCATTGTATCAAACAGAAACCCCATTACGGGTTTATCATCAGAGTCACTTAACCTCAGCACATGTACTAAAGGTTCAGTTATAGAAACAACATGGTTACATCGAGCCCATAACCTCCGATCGAGAAGGGTGGTTTCAACCTGCATTCCAAGTTGACTCATTGATGCCCTATCAGTCTGTAATTCATTAAAGCGTATCATTGATCTCAATCTTGTCTTGTTTACCAATATCGATTGTATCGTAAGGAACGCTGTAGCGAATCTAGTAGTGGACTCCTTGACAATCTCTCGCATGCAATGCTCCCTCATCAAAGCATGAAGATATGTGTGATTGTATATAACCCTTAGAATCAACTTGCTCCTCAAAATACAATATTTAACCCTCTTCAGCTTCCTTATTTCCTTGAGCATCAAATTAATACAATATGCAGCACAAGCAGTCCAATAAAGATTGGGTCTTCTCTCTATTAGCAACAAGCCTGCTATTCTGTAATTCGCAGCATTATCAGTCACTACTTGGATCACATTTTCAGGCCCAACAACATCTACAATTTTGTCTAGATGTGCGCATATCAATCTCCCAGTATGTCTCTTTCTTGATAAATCAATGCTAGAGTGGTAAACAATGCCCCTAGGGCAACCTATTAAAAAATTAACAAGATGCCTATGAGACTTGTCCTTCCAACCGTCAGTCATAATAGTCACTCTTGTACCTGGCCAGCAGACCTTGAACTATGCAATATGCTTATCAACATCATAAACAACAGCTTCTAAACATAACCCTGGAAGCTCCTTCGCAGTTGGACCTCTAACACCTGGCCCTGCCTCAGCTATAGCAGCTACCATTTGTGGGTAGAAGTCTGAGCTTGCAAAATTAAATGGCAGTGCATTAGCATACCAGAAATATGCTAATCATCTTTCTTACTTTTCTATTAATACACCTGCTGACGGAAATTTTAATTTTTTTTTATGATATTGTGACTTATGGGGATCAAGTCCAGGGTTCGCGGGTCATTGATGGCACATCTATGGGTTCATGTCGTTGAGTAGTAGATGGCCGATTAGAAGAGGTTGGGCGACTAGAGAAACTACGTCTCAATCTACTAGATGTGGATTTAAGCAATGAAGGCCCACATACTCCCCTACTCGGTACTACATGTTCTTGAGGTTGACGTCTACTGGATGCATCATCCCTTCTCCCATATATCTCTTGAATTTCCATTTGTCTATAATTAAGCTCTTGAATGGTAATCCTAGCTCGCTCCATTTGCGCCTCAAATTCTGCCTCTTGATCATCTTCCTCATCTATTGGACTTTCATACCCCCTCCCTATCTCCTCTGCATCCCTTTCTCTCTGCACTTTTTTCTTTTTCCTTTTGTAATTATTTTTATCATTTGTTGTTTTACTCTTTGTGGCACTTCTTTACAACCGGTGACATTACTTTTACCCAAGCAAGATGTTCTTTTAGGCGATAAATACCACCCACATTTCCTTGTTACAAAAATTACATCGAACCCTTCCTTTGTCATTCACTTTTGTACCATACTGTCATGTCACATCTCCCCTTCTCATCTTATTATTTTATTGTAAATTTTCCTTAACATAAAAGTTCATTAAAAAAGTATTTATTTGGGAAAATCACTCTACCAAGGGGACCTTGTAAGCATGGATATTTAAGCCCTACTTTCTCATGAAAATGAACAAGTTACAATAACATCTAATAGAAAAAAAAAATTATAATTAAGATGACCATGAATCACCATGCCATTCAATTAATATTTCTCAATAAAAAAAATGCATGTGAGCCTCTAGACCATGAAAGCGGAAAAAGCCATGCATGAGGGGAGTGCATTAAGAAATGTGGTGAAATATGTTTTCTAGGGGGCTAGGGTCAAGTAAATCCTTCAATAGGTAATATGAACAAAAATAAGTGCCCAAACCTTTCCCAAAGTATATGGTACACCATGAAATTGAATAAGAGCAGCAACCTATTAAACAAGAAGTAATCCATATAACGATACCTCAATTCCTGATGAGTAGTTTGTATTTCATGTGATAGTGACCCTTGCCATAAATATATATTCAAGGTAAAAAGTATTTCTCAAAAGGTTCTAATGGATGCATCAGTAGGGAAAAATACATCCACTTTCCAAAAGTGGAATTTAATACACTCATTGCTATAAGTTTAAACTATAAAGCATGCATTGCTCCAAGGAGTTCTACAAGCTAGTAGAATAGATTAATTCTGTATGTTTAGATCAATTCTGTATGTTGATTAGATCTGATAAGATATGCTGCCAAAACTGAACCTCTATAAAAATGGGCTTTAAACACAATTAAAGTTGAACAACTAAATATATCCATTTTTCATAACAGTGCTGCATATATAAAGATATAAAATTTTAAGCTTTATGACCCAATTGCATAATGAAGTATAGTCAATAGGTAGTCCAATACTTAGAGAATACTTGGAATACTTAGTGTTTTTTGAATCAAAATGACTCTACAAAATCAAATCATTCATA